CTCCTCTGCTCTGCGCTCACTCTGCATGCTGTTACCAGAGCAGGGAGCAGCAGCGGTCAAAATACCTCAGAAACTCAAACAAATAGGCTTTAACAAGGCTTTTATTTGGTAATACATTTACTTACAGTAAATATGTTCCTGGGTGCATTTTTTTGGTGCTAGGATTGTTTTTTAAAGAAGTACATACCCAAAGTTGAGTAAAAAATAACTTTAAAAAGTGAATTTTACATAATAGGTCCCCTTTAAAACTAGCAGTGGACCAAGCTGACAGGGAAACTGGTTCACTCAGACTTAAACCTAAGTTTTAGAGATTTAAGACGTTAAAGATAATTTTTGTTGAACGTAGATTAATGGATGATGCATGTATAATTTTATTATTAACCTACAGATAGTCAGCGTGTAGCTGTTCCATTTTGTAAAGTAAGTTTGACGTGGCTCCTCTCTGTTAAAATAACTTGTTCAGTGTAAACAACAGCCACACAGATTAGCTGCTAACTAATTGGTTTATATTTCCAACCACTGTGTGCAGCAGGTAAGATAGTGACTGTTGAGTAAACCTTTGTCTTGTCTGCATCAGGTCTGAATGTCCACACCGTGCTGAAACACGAAGCCATCATCCTTACCCTGGATGCTGTCAAGTTTTTGGAGGAGAGACTTCTTTGGCACGACCAGCGTTACACACATCTGTATCCATTCAAAATGCCCTATTCTGACATACCCTGGCGCAAATGATTGACAGTGTCCCATCATGTGTACATCCAAAGTCCTTTATTGTGTCACAATAAAAAGGCAAATGCTTAAAAAAGGTGTAAAAAAATGTACAATTTCATTCAAAGTTACTTAAAAAAATGCAGAAGTCTAAAAGTGATGATTAAATGTGTGTGGAAGGAGACGGTTGGCCAAATCGTTCCTGATCTGCCAGCGAAGTGCCGAGCGTTTCTTCTCTGTGGGCACAGTGTAGGTGTTGGGCAGGTAAACCCTCCCAGGTTTAGGCTGAAACACAAAACAAAACATTTTCACTGGGAAGGTGGAGGTAATTTATTCTTAATGTGTAAAGTTTTTATGTACTTTTACTTTTTATTCTTATTTCTGTCTGTTTATGGTTGAATCTCAAACTTTTGGTTGATTCTTTTAAAGGAGACCAGTTATGGTTGTAGAAATGTTTATGGTATGTCTGTGGGCTATCCAGACCATCTTCATTCAATTTAATGCACAAAATAATTCTCAGATAATAAAATTTCCCATTTTCTAGTTCTGCTGCTCTGACTTCTGGAGGGGCGTGGTTGGGAGGAACGCCCCCCCCCCACCCCCAATCTGAACTCGAGTGGTGTTCTGTTGTTGGACTTCGGTGCTCGTCACGGATTGTCCATCACGAACACCATGTT